AGTCCATAACTCAACCTATATTAATCGGATTTTGAAGTGGCATACCTTTAAATGTTTCTGGCGCAATTCTGTAAAAATCTGCATTCAAATTTGGAAATTTATTTTTTTTTAATTTTTTTGTCATTTTGTTGTAATTTTTTTCTGATGTTATGATGTAGAAATTCAAAAATGTCCAAAGGCCGAACTTCTAAAGTCCATAACTCAACCTATATTAATCGGATTTTGAAGTGGCATACCTCTAAATGTTTCTGGGGCAATTTTCTAAAAATCTGCATTCAAATTTGGAAATTTATTTTTTTGTAATTTTTTTGCAATTTTTTCTGATGTGATGATGTAGAAATTCAAAAATCTCCCAAGGCTGAAGTTCTAAAGTCCATAACTCAACCTATATTAATCGGATTTTGAAGTGGCATACCTCTAAATGTTTCTGGAGCAATTCTCTAAAAATCTGCATTCAAATTTGGAAATTTATTTTTTTTTAATTTTTTTGTCATTTTGTTGTAATTTTTTTCTGATGTTATGATGTAGAAATTCAAAAATGTCCAAAGGCCGAACTTCTAAAGTCCATAACTCAACCTATATTAATCGGATTTTGAAGTGGCATACCTCTAAATGTTTCTGGAGCAATTCTCTAAAAATCTGCATTCAAATTTGGAAATTTATTTTTTTTTAATTTTTTTGTAATTTTTTTATGTTATGATGTAGAAATTCAAAAAAAATTAGAAAAAAAAAATCTGCATTTAAATTTAGAAATTCATTTTTTGAAATTTTTTTTTTAATTTTTCTGATGTATGATGTAGAAACTCAAAAAAATACTAAAATAATATACTAAAAAACCCACTTTCAAAATAAAGTTTCAAAATAAATATATAATCGGTAAGAGTAAACTGCTCCACATACCGTCGTAGATTTAATGGGCCGCTTGTAAGCCTGGGCATGTAGATTAAGACCAACAATGCCGCGCCTCAGGACGTTCAGTTCACAGCGTTTAAGTTCGCAGAAGGACCTTTCGTAGCATGTACACTTAACATTTTTAAACTTGAATAGAACGCTTGAATCACTGAGTAACACAATAATGACCACATATGACCATCGTCTGATGCCATTTGTTTCTATTCTCCTCGCTGGACAACACTTAACAGTTCATTTAGTTGAATGAACATTTTTGAGGTTTGTCACGCTTTAATGCTGATATCGTGATTATGCCCGTAACTGGTAGAGAATAAGGGTATACCTACTAGATTCGGTGAATACTGTGTAAGAGTTGGAAGGTGAATTTATTATTACATTAAGTATACATATATCGGGTATTTGATAGTCGAGACACAGCTTTGCTGTAATGGTTGCAATTAGATCGCACAGATCGCCTCATTAAAATCAGTGACCTATGAAAATAACTAGACCTTATCTGCATAACAAGAATAAGTAATGGGTTGACCGGTGTATCTTTAACGATCATATCCCAGATTAACCTCTACATGAACTTCAACTTCGCCCCTCAAAATGCCATCTGTTTTTACGACAAACATTAGTTTGTAAAAACCATTCGGTACGGGCACCTTAGCGATCATATTGTCATTTAGTACCATTCGGTTCACAATTATGTCATGCTGGAAATTATACAAAATTGAAAAACCATTAGGGCATAAAAGTATTGTCAAATTCGGGATATACTACCAACATTGAATGGGCAGGAGTGATTTACGTTGGTAAAGTTTCTTATGCCGTCGTATAATATATCAAGAAACGGATGGTGTTTTCGATTTTTGAGGAAACTGCAAATATCAACGGTAATATTGTAGAGGAACGGTCTGTATCCATTGAACCTTCGGTATAAGGATATAATGCACTGAAAAAAACAATAGTACAAATTCAAAATGAAGACGAAGAATATATACCCTTTCACTAAGTGAATATTTGTATTATTTTCCATTAATATGCCTGAACGAATGTATTGCAAAATCTGACTGAAATCAATTGACGCTCTGCAAGGGTATACTCGTAATCATGATCATTTTACATACCGTCGTAGATTTAATGGGCAGCTGATGGGTCTGCGCATGCAAATAAAGACCAATGCTGCCGCGCCCCAGGACCTTCAGTTCACATCGCTTTAGTTCGCAAAAGGACTTCTCATAGCACGTACACTTGATATTTTTAAACTTTAATAATGCGTTTGAGTCGCAGAGTAGTGAAATGATGACCACATTGTATGACCACGATCTGAACGTATTGCTTTCTAGCCTCATTGTTTGCCAACAGTTAACCGTGCATTGAATTGCATAAAGTATTTTCAGGTTGTGCAGGCACATGCTAAAATGCCTCATTAGATTCAATAATTTATAATATAAAAGTAAATAAATATACCTTATCTGCATAATAGGTATCATCAATACTAAGCCAAATGACATCTCTTTTAAGATAAACGAATTTTTTTAAAAACGATTGAAAACACTTTTTAGTAAGTAACATAAAGGGAACAGCCCAAACAACTGAATTTTCCCTATGTAGCGATTGAAAGGCACTCTGGAAAACATTAAGGACTTCCTGCAGGCAACGCACAGGACAAAACGCTATTGACAAACCATACAACTGCCCATTTTCCGGGCTCCCAACCAGGGGATTGGATTTGAGCCGCCTTGTCGGAGACGTTGATGACCTTTAGGGAAAGACGAGGCCGAGAAACAAAGTCCTGGCCAACAAAAGGAGTCCTGCACCGAGGGCAGCCTTTAATTAGAGTGGCATGAAAGTATGCCCGAGGGCCGTGGCTCGATGCGATTCTTATGCAAATGCTTTTAATTACAAAACTGTGAAACTGAATTACGCAACATTGCGTTATTTAAGTGAATTATTTTGAGGCAGGTTCGTGTGTTTAATTGCCCAACTCAACGCCTTTTTAATTGCCAGAAAATGGGCGCAGGTTGATTTTGAATTTTTCTCTCGCAAATGCAGTTTGCCATGGACTGAAAATCGATTTGGATTGATTCATCTACTGGAAATTTGTCTGGCCAAAAGCTAACTAGCTCTACTTTCGATGACCTGTCCCATTAGATTGGCTCAAGCATTTCCACGCCAAATGCCAGTTACTTTTAAATAAACTGTGACCTCACCCAGTTGGCAAACCAAATTGAAAACCTTCCCTTAAGAAAAAAAAATAGAAAAATGGGACGGTAATAGAAAATGTTTATAGATAAAAAGGCGACAAATTGAATTTGCAAAGGTCACACATAAGTGCGACACTTGATATCAGGCATTGGCACTTCACGTGAGTGCCTCCCCCAAAAATTTTCTCCAACTTACTTGCTACTTGCAGGAATTTTCCCTCCGTCGCCTGGCGAGATTGAAATTTTGATTTCCATTTGCCCTGGCCGTATAATAGATAGCTATATTCACATTATTTTTGCCAAATTGAATTCCCAAAGTGATTTGATTGTGCGTTAAGAAAGGCATTTGCCCATCGGAGGGTGTGACCCTTGACAGGCCACCCCTTTCCTGATCAGAAATAAGTCCATGGAAAATAATACGCGATGAAAACCGCATGACGGATTTTAATTAACGAGGCCACGGATATTTCAAGCTCCATTAAAATATCATATTACCATCGGGTTTTAACACCTTCATAATGGAAAGGGTTTTATGGGCTTACGGCTTCAGTGCTTTTTACCAAAGCTATGGCCATCATACACGTTATGATATTCACATTGATGGGCCGGCCATTGAGCATATTGTTTTTCTATTAATTATGTCTAAATTGCGCATATGGCTTCGGGGAAAACCGCAAGTATCCCGCGGGAAATCCACAGAAACCCCCCGAAGGAGAGTACTCACGCAAGTCTCCTCTGTTCGGGGATAATCATCATAATCGGCCATGCACTTGGACGGTGCTTTAAGTGATTTTCAATATGTTCCCTGCTCCGCAGCGCATGACGCACAATGGAAAAAGGATGAGGGGTGGAGGAAATGTGGCGGAAAATGCGGAAAAAACGAGGGCGAGGCGACAGCAATCCGCTTACAATGCAGACGGGGGGTGAGTCGAACAGAATAGACATACACACATCCTGTAATTACATATCCTTTGTTGGCAAATATTTATTCTGAGGCACTTGGAATTCGGACATCGGTGGTCACCTGCAGGGCAAAGACTTTCTCCGCTGTGGCCTCAACCACCTCCACGAAGAACTTGTAGATGCCATTCTGCAGAACCTGCGGATAGATGTCCTTGACACTCATATTCAGCAGCGAGTAGTTTCCCACCCGCACGGGGCAGGCGATAAAGTCGCTCAGTTGCATCTCCGTTTGCAGAAAGTACTTCATCATGGGGTTCTTCCTGTACTCCGTGAAGAAGCCACACAGATCCAGATCCCGCATTTGGAGCAGGGTTGCGAAGTTCGTTCTGCCAGTCGCTCTCACTCGAATCTTTATGTTGAAGGTCAGGAAGTTGCTACCCATTTCCTTACGAAGCGATACGCATAAACTAAACTTGGTGCGGGTTTCATCGATGTACGATAAAGCCTTCATATAGCGAGAGTCCCCAAAGATGTTGATATGATGGATGCGAAGTATCGGTTTCTAGAAAGCAAAGTGCCTTTAGATTGGAAGCTTGGGTGTGCACATAATACCTGAGCTTCATCCTCGTCATCGTCATCCCACAAGGATTTATGGCTAGTTGCGTTGCCATTTACTATGTAAAATAGCGGAAAAAATAACGCCAGCCGAACGAAGTTCATACCGCAATGAAAAAAATCGTCTGCTGGATGCCATCAAACAGTCATGTCCCATTACCAGTTTCAATTAAGATTCGTCATTTATTAAATGGACCCATTCTCAAACAATCTGATAAGTTAAGCCTACAAACAAACTAAGCTGGAACTTTTTCAGTTATAGTATAATTGTATTTGTAATAAAGCTAATGTACAGTTTATGTTTTATTTAAAGATGACACCTGAGTGTATTTAACTTTTTCTTTTGCATTTACACAGAATGCTACAAGTTGTAACGTTTCAGGCATCATTGCTCATACATTCTAAGTTTCTTCCTCGCAGTTTACAGTCCAGTTCCTTGTCCACAATATAAACCGTCGAAGTGACTTGAAGGGCAAATACTTTCGCAATCTCTCCGATTTCCTCGACAATTTCGGCGAAGAACCTGTAGGTGCCATTTTGCACACCATCTGCTTGGATATTTTCGGCTACACCGGAGTTTAGGAGCGAGTAGTTTCCGACTCGAACGGGGCACAAAATAATTTCCTGCAGCTTGAGGTTCTTTTTGAACAGCATCTGCATCATCGGATTCGAGTTGTATTCGCTGAGGAATTCGCAAAAGTTGACCCGTCGCAATTCGAAAAGTTGCACAAAGACATCACTGCCTTCCGGTTTTACGCGCACCTTTATGTTCATGATGAGGTGATTACTTCCCAACTCATGGACCATCTGGACGTAGAGGTCGAAGTGGGTACGATCCTCGTGGATGTATATTTTGGTCTTCATGTAGTTCGACTCGCCAAAAACATGTATTTGTTTGATAACCGCCACTGCTTTCTAACATATAAGATTGGGCTCGATTTAGTTATCATATTAATCCTTAATAGTATCCATCATAAATCACCTTTTGACTTGAGCTGTACTCTACGTAGAAGGAATTCGGATCCCCAAACACTTCGATGGCCAGTCGAATCAGAATCACAGCCGAAACCCAACCGAACCGACTGAATTTCATTTCGCAACAAACTTTGGATCCCTTCATACCGCTTTGACATGATGAGTGCACAATAAAATGTTGAAAAGAGCTTTTATTTAATTTTGAATAATTTGTCTAATTGATACCATCACGGGATCGCTTCGAATGGCTAATCCCTGGTCCATCTGCACCCAAACACGTGTGTGCAAAGTTCCCAGTGATAAAGGCACACATTTGTCACGTTTGGCCTCAAAAAATAATGGCATCTCTTTAATTTCGAATGAACCCATTTATTGGATCACTTTCATAAAAGTCATTTAGTTCACTCGATTTCAGTACGTTAATGTTCAGGTCCCCAAAATACACAAATTGGGGTCCTTGAAAGGACTTCACCTCAATGCGAATGCCATAGTCCGTTTTTGGGGGCAAGTGAATCCATGTGTTGGGATCATTGTCTCCGGTGATGAAATTGCGCATAAAGTAAAATAATGACTCAGGACCATCTACACTAAACTTCAGTACCGTCCGAGGACTGCGTTTAGATGTCGAATTTGGTTGAATAATGTAGGTGTAGGTGGTTCCCTCAAAATTCTTCTGGCCGGTATAGCTTGTTTTGGTTTTCTCATAGAAGAGCAGCTCGGCCAGCACGGCCAAAAATGAGATGCGTCTGTTGGCCTCTGCGGCATTGTAGAAGCAGACCTCGTCAATGACCCCGATGAAGGTGTTGGGCAGTTCAACCTCCAGGTTCTGGGCTAAGAAACCCCAAGTACTGTTAAGAATTTTCACGTTTTCGAATTGCCGCACCAGACCCAAAACCGTCATTGCATAATGGAATCGTCTAACCTTAAGTCGATTCCTCCATTCAACATCGAATACATTGAAAGGCTGCTCCTTGCGGCGCAGGAAATGCACCACAAATTGGCTCAGATGATTTGCTTTGAGGGAATACTCGAACTGCTTATCATGAAAGTACAGCAGGCAGAGAGCGAAGTCCGACTCGGTATCCTCGTCGATGAAATAACAGCAAGTTGACCGCATGATCTGCAGCTTGATCCTCTCATCCCGCCTTCGGACACTCTCCGCAGGACGTTCCCGATGGGCTACCTCGTGGCTCCTGTGCCGGTGCAGTATGTATGCAGTGCTGATCTGTTTCAGTTGCTCGGACACTTCGCGCATCAATTTATGACGATGCAAGTCCAAGTGGGTCATGACCATCTCCAGTATCTCAACCGGCAAATCCAGCAATTGAATTGGCCTAACTTCTTCAGCATCCGCCATTTGGTTGGCAGTGGATTTTCCAATATGCGAATATGTGTTCAAGGAATGAAAATATCCTATTAAGATAGCAAATGCTATGGAGATGTCGTTGTCGTATTTTGAGTTTATAAATGATTGTTATTCAAAAGCAGACACCATCCATAATCGATTTAATAAATACCTCAAGTGTTCGGTAATGTATGAACTGACCTTAGAGCGAGTGTTTGTCCAATTGGCGGTTCCTAGCCATATGTCACCACCTAGTCAACGTCTCAATTAGCTAACCGTCGGATATGTGCTCCCATCAGGGCTTGTTCATTAGACGCCATCAGCGGCAGGAAGCTCCAAAGTGTTGAAGAGCCAATTAGCCTTGAGCGCCGGAAGGAAGCCATAGGAGCTGTGCGTGTAAATGGAGGCTAACTGGAGCTCTGGCAATTTTAAAGTCTTGTGAATGGAGCTGGCAAGAAACCGCCTGCCACCTGCCAACCTGCCAACCAAAATCCACCCACAATCCACCCACCCTTAGGATCTTCCCACACCGGAGCTGCGTAATTTTCTGCGTCATTTAATTAAGCCGATTCATGGCGCCCTCGAGGGTGGTGGTGAGCCGAGTCCGGCTAAGCCGACTTGGTTTGTCCCACAAGTCGAAGCTCCCACACATCCACACGCCCACATGTGCCCGGGTAATTAGCTCAGCCGTTCATTTCGATTATTTATACTATTTTCCCTAATTATTTATTCATAACTGCTAATAGTGTTTGTCGAGCTTAAGTGCCAACTGCTTATGCGCTATTAATTGCCATCAGTCGATGTGCAGTGCCGAGAACATTGATACAATGTCTTGTGGCCTAATCTATAAGTCATCTTCAGCATCACCATCACAGACGGATGCTCTAGGATGCCGAGCTGGGCTTCTTCACCCGAGTGTCGGCCAGGAAGCAGGACACCACGCGATTCTCCTCGTCGGAGTCCAGCAGGCGCACCTCCAGGCGCGTGGGCACCTCCGGCTGGTTGGTGGTCACAGGCAGGAGCAGCTGGTAGGTCACATCCTCGCCAGCATCCAGGGGGCAGTAGGCGCCGTGGAGCAGATTGCTGCACACATTGCCGCGGGAGGCTTCTAGGTCATAGGGTATGGTCACGCCCAGCGAGGTCAGGTGCACTTCGGCTGATAGCTTCTTCATGGTATTGCGAGCTACAGCAAAGAAGGAAAAAGATATTATTACATGCAGCACTGTATAACACTTCATTTTCACTATAGTTCCTTAAAGTGATTTTCATATCATCCATAAGAACGTAATAGTATATTGATGCTAAACCAATATTTGAATCAAGTTTTGATTAGAATAGACCTATCAAGATGCTAAGAATTTTCCGATCTTGTAACCCAATATGCATTCTACTCACTGGCAACAAATTGGATGTCGATCTTGGCCTCGGTTCCCTTCCACAAATCGCAGGGCAAGGCGTCGCAATCATCGATTTGCACCATCAGAGGCAGGGGATAGCTGCTGTCGGCACCTATAACATTTACTTGCATGAAATTAGTTGATGATACTAAGTGGTTTCCCAAGCTGGACTCACATGGCCTAATTGGCGTGCTGGCTGCAACCAAAGTCCACATAATGGAAAGCACTAGGCACAGGGAGAACTTCTTGAAGCTGGACATTTTGCTCTTGATTTTGGTTCCTGTTGCTTGCTCTGCAAGTACTAATGGTCTTGTAGTACGTATTCCCCTATCGCTGCTGTATTTATACCTAAAATGGTCTAGTTAGTACTCCTGCACTGGCCATTAATCTAATCGCTTTGGGCTTTGAACGCTTGCACCAATATTACGTTTGATTTTTCTGATTATATGGCGTATTAATCGCACTTGGAGGAATCCTAGGAACATGTCTACTTAACAATTTGGGGTAAGTTTTATGAGTTGAATAAAAACACGGTACATGAAAAAGGTGAAAAATATTAAATGGATGAAACCAATTCTTAAACTACTTTATTATTTCGCTCAGTATCGATGCCAGCAAAACCCTGTAGGGCTATCTACAATGGTGAAAACTATTTCAGCTAAAATATTCTAATGAATCGATTCGAGTGCTCAATCCTCCAAGAGCAGACATGATTGCATTCCAGGCTCCCCAAAACCCTATATGATTCATATGGGTTTTTTACGTAAGGAGCCACAAGTTGGTAGTCAGTACATTTGCACCTAGTTAGGTGCAGGCTCTGCTAATTTTGGCCCAGATTAGCTGACCAATAAGAACGCACACCTGTTGTGTTCTTAACCATTTCAGGTACAATTGTACGCAGGCCAGTGGAAGCAATAAAATTAGAAACCGATTATCAAGTATTGAGTGAAAGAAATTACCAGATTACCAGATTGCGACATTATCCACGCGTTGCATACTTTCAGGCCATCGGACTATATGCTATATATATATAAGTATATAGAGCAACCCTCCGCCGATCGGCATTAACATCAATTTATATGCATAGCCAATTTGTAGCAAGTTTTACACAATTTCTTACACCCACTTGACTCGTTGAGGGCAAAAACAGCAGCTGCCTTCAAGGGTTGCCCAAATTTCATCAATATTTCCTGATTTTGTTCGCAAATTCAACTGTTTTATATGCAAATTAGCTAAGCGATTTTTCGCCCCCGCCAGCAATTGATTTTAAAATGTTTACGTTCCTTCGTAAATGAGTAAGTGATTGCCGAGATTTTTGGTACGGAGAGGGAACTTGAGCGTTCAATTGGCCGAAACGTTTCTTTAATATGCATTTTTATAATTAATTTGCACGTTAATGAAATATTAATGCATTTCCAGTGGAATTTCAGGGCGGATTTGCATATATGGCCAAGTTTCATCAACGTTTAGTTATTTTGTAGCACAGAAAACTATTTGCATATTTGCACATTTAACAATCATTTCAAGGCAATCCACCTTAAAAGCAAAATAATTTACAGTTCCTGGGAAACCACTAGGCACTTTCCCAGGAATTCCAACTCGTACTCGGTATCCATCAATGGCAAAGGAAATTACTGGTGAAAAGTCATGCTCTGAAATTATGCAACTCAAGGCTTCCAGCTAACATTTTAATTATACGAAGGTTGGCCAGAAATTGAGAGCGAGTGGCACATATTTATGCAAATTAAGCAAACTTCTTTTCGCTTGAAGTGGGCACATTTCTCAGCTGAAATTACGTTGCCAGGCGAGCGGAAGGACGCAGGAGCGGAAAGGACATGGTCCTAAATGCCAACACTTTGGGGGAAAAATCGCTCAACAGCCAACAGCTCAACAGCTCGACAGCCGAACTTGTTGCAACGCATGTTCCTTCTGATTTCGAAGAACATGAATTTCGCATTCACTTAATTACAGTGCCAAAAGCGCAGAGCAGTCTGTTCAGAGGGGGCTGAGCAATTAATTAGCATCCCCGGCCGCGCTTGACATGCTGCAGAAATTTAATAAAATACATTTTTTGCATGACGGCATATGCAAATTGCCATTGGCAGCAATGAGTCTCCGCCAGTGCGGCCATATCAAAGGGTGCAGCGGGGCGAGAAATGCTTGCCATGTCACCACCCCCAGCATTTTCCAGGTGGAAGGTGCGAGGAATTGTCTCAAGGCCAGTTGGTCACCTGGTTGACCATAAGCAATCACAGATTTTTTCCTCGTTAAAGAAATACAGCTGAATGCACTTGGATAGTCGGAACTGCACCCTTTTGCTTTAGGGGTTGCTCTGACCAATGCTGCCAATTAGCCTCATTTCCAGAAAAACGTTTTTTAAAGCTATTCAAAAAATAGTTTTACTCCATATAGGTATGTATTACAATACTGGGTTTCACTGCATTTGCAAACAATTTTAAGTTCACTGCCTTTTAAGGTAACACAAGATATTTAAAATTAAATACTAAATGGCATTGGCAGCACTGGCTTTGACCATATGGGCAGCACCTGTTGAGGGGTAAAAAGGACACGGCTTCATGGGCAATTGGGCGTGAGTGGCCTTTTGGGAAATTCCTTTATTAATTGACAGCACACGGCTGCTCCAAAAATGTAATGAAAAATTAACAACACGAAAATCAAATTGCCGCCTAATTGAGACACAATGGCCGCGCCAGTTTGTCAGTTTGTCAGTTTGTCATTCGGTATTAAATTACGTGCAAACAAACATCAAATTGAAATAGAATAGACATCCGGATGAGGGGCAATGGCAGTTGCAAGGGGGAAGGCCACAGGATTGGCGTGACAAATTGTTTGGCTTTGGCGCTGGCATTTAATGTCTGGCTTGATTTGACAAATTAATTGAGTTACCTCGGCCGCGGGCTTTTCTGGGCGGGGCTAGTGGTAACCAGTAACCAGTCTATTCAAAACTGAAAGCTCTGTGCAACCCATGCGGCCAAGTCCGAAAGTGTTGCCTACTTTTCGTCTCAAAATAATCAATAATCAATGCCTTAGCCCCCACACACACACATTATTGATATAAAAGGGCACATCAAAGATAAGCTGAACATCCGTGAAATACATTTGGGAATATGCAAAAATGGAGATTACCCAAAAGTGCAAACGGAAGCCGAGGCAAGTGGAAGTGTTTGGAAGCGAAAGTATTCGGGTATCAGATTTTCCGGCACAGATAATTGCATTAGATGCCACCGAAGATAGAATCCACGAATCAGTGTATCAGGACTCAGGACTGAGGACTCAGGGCTCCGGACTCCGGTTGATGCTAATCAAATACTGCGGTTCCCTAAGATCCATTTCGGGCTATATGTCGGGGATATTTTTTGTCGTGCCGGATTTTCCATTGCTTTGACATATTAAATAATGTCACAACAATTACATGTGAGGGGCAACAACAGTTCCTGGGTAAAAAAAGTGAAGAAAAATACATTTACAGGGGAAGGGTGGCAAGTTCAAAAGCATTTCGAGAAAATCTCATGCTGCGCTGCGACTGTCCACATGGCAAGTCACCACCAACCATGCGAAATGTTGCAAAATATCGGCGAGGGTGGATCGAGGAATAGAGAAGTGGTGCAATGTTTTCGGTACAACGCTTGAAGCACCGAATCCACAGAACCCCAAGAGCCACCCTCGCTTTAGTTTACCTTTGGAAAATTCGCCAACATTTGAGTTCCGGGAAGGTGGATGGAGTTGTGAAGGGGGAATTATCTTTTCCAGCTTACTTGCGTCCGTTTCCTTTATACTCGCACATTTTCCTGCCCCGCAGAAGTTCCATTGTCAGTGGCTTTGGCCGAGGCACAAATGTCTGTGGGTTTTCCGTTGCCATCAGGGGCTTAGTGGCCTGCCTGCGGAGTGCTCAGGGATTTATTTTGGCACTGCCTTTGTGGCAGGCGATGTCCCATGAACTCGGCGATGAAGTGATAAAATTCTGCAAACAGTTTTCATAATTTTCCGATCCATTCGCAGGGGCCAGTGATTGCAGATCTAATGCTGTCAATTGATTGGGAAAATTTGATTAGGACTACTTAGTTATTAAGTAATTTATACATCTTTAATTTAAGGGTAGCAAGCCTATTACCCTTTAAAGGCACCTGAATCAAATGCTAATTGTCATAATAACTAACATAAAAGGTTTTCCATATGAGTCTAATAGCAGGAACCCTTTCATCCAAAATAAAAAAAGAACCGACCACGATTAGATAGTCCAAATCCGATCGTATTAGCCGAGATACAGCTCGGTTATGGCTATAAAAGCGATGTGGGCACCGTTGGCCGAAAGCAATTCGCATTGGGAAACATGCAGGTCAAGTTGTTGGTTCTGATCTCCCTGGGATTACTATTGCTGGCTGAGGCTCAGCAGGAGCATCCGGCGACGTCTGTGAAGAAATGTAAGTACATTTACGGGACGATCACCATAATACCCATAATACAAGAGCATAATTCCACGCTAATCAGGTTCCGGAAGTAAGCCCTTTCCGCTGGAAGTGCGTGTCCACAACTGCGTTACTCCACCCTGCCAGATTGTGAAGGGAACGACCCAGAAGTTCGAGATCGATTTCGCCGTGGACAAGTACATCACCCAGCTGACGACCTTGGTGAAGGCCACCACCCTCGGCATCATCACGGTGCCATACGAACTGCCTGCGGATGTGGCTGCCGTCTGTCCGAATCTCCAGTACGGCGCCTATTGCCCGCTGTATCCCACCGAGGATGTCTCCTATCTGTTCACGTTTCCCATTGGGGAATATCCCGAGATCGGCGTGAAGATCGAGATCTATCTGGTGGATCAGGACAATGAGATTGCCACGTGCTTCGTGTGCGATATTAAGGTGGTCAAGGGCAATGGCGGCAATACGGTCTATGAGCTGGACTATCTCAACTGAAGTTGGGCCCAGTTAGTTCATCAATTGGTTTAAATTACTGTGATATACCATTCTTTATTTCCAAAAATCCATCGCTGAGCTACCCAGCGATGTCTCATGAATATTTAATAAAATTTTAAAAGCTTTACCCCCACATATGAGGGTTGTTTCCCTAAGTAGATCTCTCTGCCCTGGCTGAGTATAGAAAAGTACACTTTGTAGTCTGGCACTTTAAGACTCCTTTTACAAAGCCTACCATTGGCCAATGGCGCTATCTGCACACGCTGCCATCCAGGTGTAAAACTCGAGTGGGCGAATGGCTATAATCGAATCAAATATTAATTCGTACATCTTACGCCTGATTACCCTAACACACCTGGTCATTTCCAATCAGAAGGAGAGGAAAGGAGAGGGAGGGAAATGTACCCGGTTATCAATGACCATTTTCAAAACCTGGCAATCTAACTATACTATCAGATTTACTTTCAACGTATTTAGACACTGTAAACAATTCGGTCGCCTCTAAGAAGGCTTAGAAAGTTTGAAACATGTCTTTTTTTTCAAAAATATGTTTAACATTTACTAGCACTACCTGAATCTTAGCTAATTTAATTTAATTATCACGACGATTTTAGTAAAGAAATTTAATACAATGATTTATATGCCTTTTAAGCAATACAATAGCGTAGGCTCTTCAAAAGAAAGCACATAAAACATGCTTGCAAATGATAAGGTTCTTTGGAGACCCTGCTAATTATTATTTAATCTGGTATTAATCACCTTAATAGTTTTGCATTTTCACGCGCAATTTCTCCGAGTGTACAGTTGCACCCAGCAAGACGTTTATCGCCTTATCACGCAGGAGAGCCCAACTTTTGGCCATATGGTCAATGCGATCTACGGCGGTCTATAAATGATTATCACGACGATTTTATTAGCCAATTGTGCCACTGAATCAGTGGAAATAAATTACTGGACTTTCGGTGCAAAAATCAACGTCACAGATGACTGTATATAAATAAATACGCTGGGATATCTAATCGGCGGGCCCAGAAATGTGCTAATCTGCGGCCTGATTGTGCACTGGGTACACTGGAAGCCGTGACGTATTCAAGGTAAACAAATGGTCTTATCATTGCAAGAGTTTTGTGGTTTATTATTTGGCAAACAAGTGGAAATATTCAGTCGGCCGAAATGGCTGGAATTGCGTACATCGTCGGATTAACGGGGATTCGTCCAGTCCAACAGAAATCCGTCCATCTGCCCTGCAGTGGCGCCCTTACGGAGTTTACAGGCCACGACAAAGCAGGTGATCGGTTCGTTCTGGGCATCGTTCAATGTGACAGTAACATCCGCCGTGATTTCCGGAAACGAGGGCTCCACATAGAAGTTAAACTGGTACGTGACATCCTCGTCCTTGTCGATGGGACAGATGGCGCCGTACAGGAGATTGCGGCACACATCGGACACTTCATCGGGCAGGGCATACGGCAGATTCATGCCCATCACCTTGGCCGTTGTGCTGGCCGTGATGCTCTTGATATTGTTGTTATCTGAAAGAGATCGAGCTGAGAATCAAGTGGATAAGGATACAGATGGCCCAACTCACTGCCCAGGAAGTGCACCTCCATTACTGCAATGGTTCCCTTGTACACAACGCACGGTGGTTCTTCGCAATCCTTAATTTTCACATCCAGTGGAAACGGCTTATTTTTGCCTGAAAGGAAACATGTTCATATCGAATCAAAAGGAGGGCTGAAAAGTATGCTATGATTTTTTGTACAAAAGAGATTAGCTTTTTGTTGATAAGCCATATCAACCCGGCCAACAGATACACGTTAGGACTCTAAATTGGACTCAAACGTATTTTTGGCAATAGTTTTCTAGTCGAAGTCTGTGAAATGAATCATCCTCAGCGAATTATCTGCTTTAACCGACTGGGCTATTCAAAGCCTGAATAAAACATTTGAGGGTTTTCCTACCAAAATACAGAAACTTATGCTACTTACACTGCTTAACATTGGTCGCACTGACTGTGGACAGAATTAGACACAAAGTTACAACGATTCGCAGCATTTTACTGGATGGAAACTACTTAATCTTACGCCTGAAGAATGGAAAATTTCTTAGGTACGCGCGCACGCAGATGACAATCGTGAGTGGAATCGATGGGGCTGGTGGAGAACCTTAAATAGCCCCGTGTTCGAACGATGACCAATGCCTTGAGAGAGCACTTAATCAAAATCGGTGGCTATTGCCATTGATACGGGGCCGCCACGCAGGTGTTACAAAAGAAAACACTGTGGCCTGCAGGTGTTGTGCTCTGACGAAGAGTAAACAACGCCGATTCGAATCAGTAAATAACGTAAATTCGGCTGATAAAACGGGAGAGACTGAACTACAATGTTGCCGTGTATACCTAGTAAACAAAGCAGCCAAATAATGAATATGTAAACAAGGCGGAATATTGTCTTGAAAGGTTAATCAACATCTAATTTAAAGTTTTGTCGAGCAATCAAATTTAAATAGGCCGGCAAATCTGCTATCGATCGTCATCGAAGACTTCGTGTAATCGAAGTATGCACATCTCTAACTATGGCCGTTCAAAACATAAAAGGTAAACAAAACTCATTCAAGCACAAACTGACCAAAATCAGATAATGGAAGGTAAGGAAGAAGATGTAGAGCGCCTTCTGGGTCAAAAGTATCCTGGTCTGGAAGCGGAACTTCAGCCCAGTGGAGCGTGCATCATTAGAGGAGTTTTGAACAGTGAGGTAAGTTGTCCGTTTTCAATTCTTCCCGCCAAACTAATGCTAGTTTTATAACTAAGGATACCTGGCTCCGCATTAAGCTCTATCTGCCCCACCACCCAGCTCTTCATGGCTTGCAGGTCTACGTCCAGGAAAGCTTGGAGTACAAACTGTACACATCGGCTAATCTGAAGTTGCAGGATGACTTGCTGCTGGAGGATTTGCTGGACAATTTGCCAAAACTTCTTCCTGTCAAAGAGGCCCCAACAGTGCCAAAGGAACTATGTCGGGAGGGGAACGTGTACTCCGATATCCTGGCCTTGTACAAGTCAAACGAGTATAGCCTGCAAATGGATGAGGCCTGTTCCATGATTCGATTCAGCGAATTTACCGACTTCGAGAAGCATTACTTGGAGCTGAAAATCCCGTCGCTTCTCTTGCATGATCACAGTTTGCCAGATTGTGTATTGCTGGGTGAAATGCTGACCAAGAGTGCTGGAAACCTAGAAGAGGCCCTAAACCTCTTCCGCAAGCTGCTGGAGGATCTGCGTCCATTCTACGACAACTTTATGGACATCGACGAGCTTTGCCATGTGCTGCAACCATCGCCCATCAGCAGCAAACACAAGACGCGGCTGTTCCCTCTCAAGGATCGCGTCTATTTGAAGCTGACCATCGCGGATCCCTTTGCCTGCATTGCGTCCATGTCGCTGAAAATCATTGGACCCACGGAAGAGGTGGCCCGCCTGCGTCACGTGCTCAGCGATGGTCTGAGTAACTGGGACCCCGAAATGAACATTCACAAGAACCTACTGCGAATGTTCGATTTGTGCTACTTTCCCATGCCAGATTGGTCTGATGGCCCCAAGCTGGATGAAGAGGACAACGAGGAGCTGCGGTGTAACATTTGCTTCGTCTATCGCCTGGATGGGGGCGAGGTGCCCCTTGTCTCCTGTGACAATGCCAAATGTGTGCTAAAGTGCCATGTCGCCTGTTTGGAGGAGTGGTTTCAGACTCTGATGGATGGCAAGACCTTTCTGGAGGTCTCCTTCGGGCAGTGTCCCTTCTGCAAGGCGGTAATGTTGCTTATTACGTTTTCTATTTTCTATGTACAACTGCTTAATCTTTTTCAGAAGCTTTCCACCTCATTTGCGGCACTGTTAAATGATTGAAATTGGCAACCACAAACATTAAACGCAATTATTTAAGAGCAACTTATTACAGAGTTTTAGTTTAAAAGAATCTTAAATATCAATTAGGTTAAATTTACTCAACTAAAGAACATATATGCATACATATGTAGATCAATCTTTCGGTTTACATTCACGCCATCAAACGCCGTGGGTTTTTGCTAAATGTAGTTGTGAAACGAATTAAACAGGTCCCACCTCATGGACCGCATCATTCCCCTGACGACGACAGCAGCAGAGTTGACATCTGAGCAATCGCTTCACAACGCGCCAGCCTCATTCCATCTCATTGGAGATCAGCCGCAGCATGTTGCGCACCACGTAGGGGCTTCCATTGAAGGACGTGTTCTCGCTGGCCTTTCCAATTCGCACGCTGGAGCCGGCCAAGCCGAAGAACACTCTGGGTGTTAGGTTGGGCTGCACGGCCTTGAACTCCCAGCCGACGTGCTGGGCGCAGAACTTGCACAGAATGATGTGCCACTGGTAGCCGGGGAACCAGCTGAACTTGGTGGACGGCTCGCCGCTGTAGCCGATGGCATGGGACATCACCCGGTACACGGTGTTCGTCTCGTGGATGTAGCCGTCTGTAAATTATTTACTCTTTCAGTGAATCCATTGCCTTATAAGCCACACTGTGCTTCTCATTAAACTTACCTGGATTGCAGTACTGGGTCTGCACACCGTGTTTGGACATGGCAAAGAGATCTGCGCAGTGGGCCAAGCTGCTATTGCAATATCGACAGAAGAAGAGTGACTCGTCCGTGAACGTGCTTTTGATCAATTGAAGGCGAGTGTTAACCGAGTCGGTGAGGAAGGTAAGCCGCATCATCTTCTCGGTCAGGTGAAGGTTACGCACCAACCAGAACGACAGCTGAATGGGGCATTTTGGCATTGTGTCTATCTTTTGGGACTCTAGCCTTTGGCGTGCGCGCTCCACAATCGAAGCAAACGAATACTCTTGGCAGGCGTCAGATGGCCAGTTGGTAGTGCTTAGCTGGAACCTGCGATACTTGTCGCGCATCGAGGGGATATCCCGAAATCTGGCCATCGAGCCCATGTCAACAGATTGAAGGGGTTCGGGCAGGAAGTACTCGGGCAATATTTTGACTTTGCTGAAACATTTGCTAGTGGGATTGCGAGCGATGTACTGCGGTGATCTGAAAAGGTGTGTGATTACTTGTGCACAATTTAGAGTGATCCAAAGAGCCATGACTCACCCTTGTATATCATCAAAGTTGATGACAATGCGCTGCAGTGCTCGTGATTTGTAGAACACCAACCCTCGGCCGCTTTCGCCCTTTTCATAGATCTGGCACGTGACCCCATACAACTTGAGTTGGTTGTCCTCCGGCGGCTGCATCAGCGGAAAGCCCACGCCGAAGATCAGGCCGTCCAGACCGGGCATATCCTCGTCAAACATTCGGCCGTCGATCATGAAGGGAAGCACCTCGCCGGGGAAAAGGATGTGCTGGTGCAGGAAGATGAGCATGTGGTGGACGCTGCCCACTTCCAAGTAGTCCACACCGGGCACGCGACTTAAATGGTTGCCAAAGTATGAATGTTCCGCTGGCAGATTGGTGTCAAAGCCAATGTCGATTGGCGGTCGTGGCGGCTGTTGTGGTGGTGGATCTTCGGGCTGCTCGACATCCTCCTGGCTAGTTTCCTCGCTTGTGCGACTGCGTCGTCGCTCCTGGCTGAAGACCATACTACGCACTCGCTGTAGGAAGTTGTCCCGATTGAGCAATGCAGCGATTCCGCCATCCCGGTTGCGAGCTTGCGAGACCATCATGTCTACGGCAGAGCGTAGTCGGTTCTGGGGAATCATCCAGCGGGGCAGGCGCTCTAGATCGGAGTCATCTGAAATGGAGATGCGGCTTGAGTGGAAATCTGCAGCACAACGGTAGTAAGCCAACTAACCCTCGCTTCCCGGACTCTCCAACGACATGTCACTGCTGGGATGACTGCCCTCGCTGGCCGTGTCGTCCTGCAAGCCATCCTCTACCATGGCCTCCGGTGCATTCCCTCCCTCACCCTCGATGGCCAGTGGATCTTGGAACGCCTCTTCTGGCGGCGGGGACAGCTCGTCTTGTATGGCATTGTTCCAAGCCTGCTCCATCGCGTCCACCCGCCGATCCTGGAGACCTTGTGCCTGTGAGTGGTCCTCCAATTGCACATCTTCATCCCGTCCTTGCACAGAATTGATTTCTGCGCAGTTTCAATAAGTGAACATGTTAGTGGAAAAATTTGGCGAGTGCTGTGATGCTGCCACACCCACCTGAGGTCTCCTCGTCGTCCATTTGAGCCGTACAGGGTGTGTGGTTGCTTCGTTTCGCAGGTGAATTAAATACTTATTTATTTACTTTTTATTTTGACAAAGGAAAATAAGAGACGAGTGTTTTTCGATAGTCAGCGATTGGATAATTGGACGACCAGTGTTGATAGTGTCGAAAATTTGAAAATGTTCGGTCGTGTGGCGCAAAATTAGATTTTTGATATATGCCGTGCTAAATAAGTAATTATTTGATTTTGAATTTAAATTTCTGATACACTTAGTAATTTTATATTTCAAAACAACTATACATAACTCAAAAAAGAGTTTTAAATCAACTATTTCAAAAGCCATTGCCTGAGAACCTACACTTGTGGTTCAGCTATTAAATAGTCATTATAACTCCTTTTCGATCAGTTACGCTAATTTGTATAATTGCGTTTGACGCCGACCGGGCGATGATCAAACTGGGAGTTGCCTTTCATCCGCTATACTGCACTAAGAAAAGAAGTCAGTACGATAGGTGGATGGATGGATATCATTCCATATAAAAATACAACATGAAGGCCTAATCTCACATACAACTGAAACTCGCTACATATCACAGTCTAGCTTTACTAGCTTTAATAATCCTCGATACAAATAATAAACCGTGACTTTACACTTGAATTGCCTAACCGTTGATCATTACAAATCCGTTACGCGGCAGGGCCGTTTTCTTAAAGTCATCGATAAGCATAGCTGATATCGATCTTTGAGCCCCTCTAGCAAGAGCGAATGTAGTCGGAAGCTTTAAAGAGCGGATCTGAATAGTCGGGAGTCGATCTTCGTCGCAGTTGGAAGTTCGCGGATGTAAAAGTGAAAAGTGAAACCGAAAAAAGTCGCTCTGTGTTATCTTCCAAGAGCCTTCGGCATCGTCGATTTTGCATACCTATCTCATACCCGTTAATCAAAACAGAGCGAGAGAGGGCGAACAATCGAACAATGATCAATATCAATACCCGATTCTTGCTGATCGCCGTGCTGATTGCGCTTATTGGGAAAGTGGCACGCGCCCAAATCGCCTTCGTTGAGGATCAAGACATTGATAAAAGGAAGGCCAACCTTGCGGTAAGCTGCAGACAGAAACAATTCAAGTTTGTGATAAGAAATGCCAAAATGGAAGAGAAAACACAGCTGGAATTGGGCAGAGCCCTTCGCCGAATACCCTTCCCGAATAAAAATGTTAGAGTCGTTCAAATTCAACAAGGAATGAAATCATACTTGTTCTTATCTTAGTTTCAAAACATGATTTATACTTTATATACCCGATCTTTTATTTAAATTTCATGGCAGTGTATTTGGTTTCTATTATCGTTCTATTATCTATTATCGTTTCGGAGTTTCCAAAACGATCTTCGCAATGAATTACAATAAGTTCTGAGAATTACAAAATATAGGGAATGTTTTGGTAGTGTATGGAAGACGCACTGGCAATAATCAATCCGATCCCCGTCTAACACCTCTCCGCATTCTCCTCTTCCTCAGGGTCGCAAGCCACTGTACTTACCAGCCCGATGCCCCAAGCACCAGCTTCTTTATCCGGGAGACCAGCAGAAGCAGAACGACTGGGTCTGCGACTGTGCGCCAGGTGAGCGGCCATAATGGAGCTACCATGACGATGACATAATAATCTGGGTACGGGTGCTTCCCCTTTGACAGCCACACTGTATTACCCAGAGACCGATGCCTGCTATCCGGCCTACCGACAGGGACCCTGTGAGCCGGGCCAGATCCTGGTGCTCTACAAGGAGCGGATCATCCCGGAGTGCGTACGCAATCCATGTAGTAGGGACGGACACTTTATGATTCGCGACACCTGCTATGAGTTTGGAAACACCAAGAAGGAGCAGAACCCGTGTCCTCACCAGGAGGCTTCCTTTGTGCTTGGCGTCAATCCCAGCAACTTGATGGTGGACTGTGTGAAGCTGTCCGTTCAACTGGAGACGCGTATCTCGGACACGGAAGAGGCTCCGCCGGAATACTACGTCGATGTGGCCGAGAAGTGCGCCCGCGGCAGTCGCTTGATGGCTCAGGGAAAGTGTCCTTAAAGGATTTTAACATGTTACAACATAAGTGCTTAAATGTATTGTGTTCTGTTCGGTGCTGTAAATCCCAGTGGAGAATAACAAATTCTTTTAATATATATAACAGAGGCATTATAATTACATTCCTTTAAAGACCAGTTCTCAAATTGAAGACAATTCCTTATTTTTCTTTAAAAGCAAAACGCTATTATGTACAACTAGGAACTGGCATTCCTGCGCCTCTTGGCGGAAGTGCTGGCGGTGTCAGCACTTTCCTCTTCGAGCATTTCATCAGCTTCGACATCATCCTCTTCTGGCAACGTGACGCCATCTTCTAGGTTTTGTTCATCATTGGCTGTCTCCAGCTTGAGCAGCGCATTCTCCAGAGATGCGAGGAAAGAGCTCTCGCCGTACTCCGGCCACTGACGAAACTGACTAAAGAGCGTCAGCACCTGACTGGGCAGGAGATCTCCAAACTGGGTGTAGATGTTGATGCCGGGATAGTAGTTTCTGGTGCTCATTGTGGTACTCTGACACGAGTACTGTGGCAGTTTCTTGGGCAATTCATCTGGATAGATGGGCTTCACGGACTCGGAGGACTGCGGATTGATGATAAGCCGAGGTCCACAGCCGGGAACCCATTTCCTGCAGAAATAATGTAATGAACTAAAATCCCTGAAGGTTTGCTTGAGTTACCTACTCTAAATTGGGTATTATTCTGTTTCGTCGGCTCACATAGTTCTGCTTGATGAAGAACCAGAGAGCGGGT